CCTGATCTATCTAAGTAGTACAGAGCTGATTCGGCTAACGCTACAGATCTGTACGGGACAGGGACACCTAATCGTGATTATTTCCAACAAAGGATGGAGCAGGGGCCGAGCCAGCGTATAATTTCTGTGCATTGCAACGAGAGAAAGAAATGTAACCAAACCCTTAGCCAATAAGCACGACTCAAGAAAAAGTATCACCGCATATCCTCTTTCTCACCCTCACTAATGGTGGAGGTGTTCACTTGATTATAACGCCTTCGAATGTGCTCAATCCCACGATAATTAGCTCGATCACCACATGGCACACTTGTCAAGCGCAAGGGGATGTTAAACACTTCAAAAAAAATTGTCGAGTGTATGTGCGGGTCACCCTCCACGGGCTGCTTTTATCCTCTAAAATGAAATTAACCTTAATTCATTATCCCATGCAATAGTAATGCTACCTTTTGTGATGCTTCGAATTAAGAAAGTGACCTCATCTCTCCTTCCTCCTCTCATCTGTACCCCTTGCCATAAACCAGGAACAGATGATTATGTGACTTGTGATGGTTCATCTGTCTTTCTTCTGTGTGCATCTTTTCTGGATTGTACATATTCATATGATTCTATTACAGCTCAAATAATCAAAAAGGTATCATAGGAATGCCACCCATAAATTTCAATAATAGATTTCTTATGCTCCTAATTTTGTATGAATTTAATCATCTAATTCATACACATAGGACTAAAAACCTAAATGATAGTGCCATACTTCTGCACCTAAATTCACAAGTTAACTAACACCAGGATCAACGATAAGCTAAATGAGATCAAACTTGCATTACCGAGCAGTTCAGAGCTGGAGAGTGTACATTCCCTGATGTTTCTACCTTTTATCATGTTCAAACATGTGCATTCCAATGTACAGAGGACTCAATGGACGTGTGTTTATGGAAAAGGGGGCTTCAGGGCAGTGTGCGGGAGGCACGTGGATCCCTCGATGGCGACGTGCGACAACGACCGAGATAGATGCAACAGCAGCATGAGAGAGATGCAGCAGCGGCGGCAAATTTATTGATGTACATGGTGATAAAAACACAAAAAATTACTGGTTCGTATTCATATTTAGGTCCATTTCAATCGGCAGACAGAACACATTTTTTTATATACAGAGATATTCCAAAAGGTTCAGTAATATATCGGAAAACGACGAAAGGAAAATATACATATTGAGCAGATTTTACAGCCAGACAAGCACCAGCAAGAAAATTGATGCCTAATGAAAATGTTTTACAACCTTCATCAAAATCGTGCGCCCTGATTAAGAGTTAGTCTTTTTACCAATCCACAACGAGAAAACATCTGGCAACCACAAAATCCATAGGAAGAAACGATCAAGAGAACATCCAGTAAAAAGGATGGCTCGCATCTCTTGTACCATTGGTGCAAAGAAGAGCAAGGGATTGGTTTTGGGGAGCAACTCACGGAAGTATATCTGCATTCCCGATTGGAGCAACTTAGGGAAGTATATCAGCATCAGCATCAACCCAATCGCTCCATCAGGCATACCTACAGCATTGCCCCGATTCAGATGCAAGCTTATATGCTGTAACACAAATTTGAAGAAACCCCTGAATAGAATAAAAGGTTCTACTCTTCACAAAAGAGCTGCATGATTTTCTAACCATACATATAAATCAACAAATATTTATTGTAATGGAATTTACTATCACATTTGCGCTACGACCATGTTCTTCGTCTTTGTCATCTTCAAACAGAGAGCAGAGCAACAGGTGCGGCTAGGAAATCAAAATAGGTACAGCAACGATCACTAAGTTAAGCAAGAACATATATATTCAATGTATGCCTGCAAAAGGAAGAATATCGATATGACAGAAATTCAGCAGTATAATATTATGTTGGACTTCAATGTTTAAGGTCAAAATTCTATAAGTTGGCTCTTATTTTACAGAGATAAAAAATGTCTAATTATTCAGATAGTGTAGCTTAAAAAAATGAATTCTATAGTACACTCCAGCACCACATGGTTCATTCATAGTTTATGAAGCACTAACATCAAGGCTACCTAGTGTGTTTCCCAAGAAAATATCTCATCATATGGGATGTTCACTAAATATTTCATATGCCATTTTTTTGGTAAGATAAAGTCAAGGGGTGAGGGGACAGCTCAAAGCAGGAGATATGGTAAGTACACGCTGAACAGAGCACTAAAATAGCAATAGTTAAACATGCTATAAATAATACTCGTATTTCAAGCTAAAACATGAAGCTTAACATAAATCTACTAAGTAATAAATTCAAGCTATGGTTAATTAAACTACCTTGCAAAATAAGGCCATTCATCATCCTGTTGGATCCTTGCACATTTAGTCTTCCACTTGCAGCATTGACCCTAAAATCGATGTGTGATGAGATAATCGGCACCGACAACCCACCAGAGCTTATATTTATTCCAATGTTACTTCTGCGCACAATGTTTGTAATACGTGGACCCAAAGCTGGGTTTCCAGGAACATAATTTCGATTACCACTGGTGCCCAAGTTTGAGGATAAACCTTGAATGGTACCACCCATATTCATTCCACTTCTAAATGCTTGACCTCCACCAACATTCATTACTCTATCACTAACAGCTAAATGTGCATGAGGAATCTGCAGAAGAAACAATAATACCAAAACAGTAAAAATCATCATCCTCCACATGAAACCAAAGCAAGAGTATGTTATAATTTATCAAGCCAACAAAATTGTTCCTTAGATTGCAAACCAATTAACATGCATGTTCATGATGTTGAACGTATATAAATAACAATGCCACAAACCTCCACAAAGGTGGGCATTCGAACCAGAGAATGACAACAGGAAGGCTGTTTGCAGCAAATCTCCCAGAAATGCTCCCTCTGGGTTGTTGGACCCCAGATGATGGAACGCTACTCTTCACAACATTCCTTTTTGCAAGTGATCCAGGAATATTTTGGAAGACTATAATTTCCATGAATGTTGTGCAGACCTGAAAATGCAGAAAATGATAAGAGATAAAAACATTTAATCAATGGGCGTTGCACTATGTCAATGCGCTAACCGAGTTAGCGCACCATATGCTCACCAGAGTGATGAAAACCTTGAACTAATCCAGATTGTCCGGAAAAGGATGTTGCAAATGGTCACTTGGATGAGTTTGGAAGGTTCGATGTGGGATGTGGAACTGTTAAGATTAAACAACCAAGGAAGAAAGCATCAAGTTATCAAGACAAATAATAACAAAAGATAGTAAACAGACAGAATTGGAAAGTGTATGTACACAGTGAACCAATGGTAGTCCAGTAGAAGGATAAGCAAGTACATTCAGCAAAACGGACATTGTTGACAACTGAAAAGCAAGTCAACACTCAAGGTCAAACAAATTAAATTACTCATAAATATTTAAACCAGACAAATTAAATTGAACTCTCTCTCTCTCTCTCTCAATTCAGGGCATTTCATTAATATATGTTGCTCCTTTCAGTTCAGGGCCTTCCTTTTCTTGCGCCAGCACACATGCCACCTAAGTCGATATGGCTGAAATACGTGCCATCACACATGCCACCTACATAGAAATGGCTGAAACACCATTCTAAGGAATACATTACACATAAGCTTGATGGCAGAACTACTGCCAATGTAAAATATTTGTAAGCCTAATTGAGAACTATGTCAGAAAATAAAATAAAATAAAATTGTCACTATTGTATTATTATAAAACAAAATTATCACTCGTGTTCTTGGTAAACATGGTGAGATGTAAACAGTCAATGAGATTATTAGAAGTGATAAAAATGGAAATGCACAAGAAGTGCAACATATTAAAAAAAAATTTAGAGCAAGGACTGACATGACGATAGGAAAAATGAATCAATGAGGTTATTAGAAGTGATAAAAAAAAGAAATGCACAAGCAATGCAAAATACTAAAAAGAATTCTAGAAGGTTTCACATGACTATGGGCAAATGATTTTTGCTTTCAGCGAATTTATGGAGACAACAGGTGGCTCTGAGCTTGGCAACCTAGCATGTACTGAATATATCTCTGAATGACTTACTGCAAGTGTGTGTCATTAAAGTAACGAAATTTTTCTTCACAAGCTTGATTCCTGATAAACAAGGGCCAATTCATTAGACTTATGGATAGAAAATAGACCAAGTTGATCTAAAACCTTACATATTGCAACACCGCTGCCACTGCAATTCAGGCAACTCCTTGTGTGCAGCCTTGTTCTTCTGTATCTGCAACAAGTTTATTTGGTCCACAAATTGTTTGGCCGAATGCACTTATCAACACATAGGCAAGCTAGAAATCTTCGTATAGGGGGGATACCTTCTTCCTACATGAGATTAAAAAAATGTACATCAGACTTCAAAGCAAAACGATCCTCGGCCATCGAGGGAATCAAATTTCAGAGGACCACCAGGGGGCCCATCTTGTTGTGACTGGTAGTGAGGAGCAGCCTCAGAGTAGCGTCATGTATCATAAAAATCATGCTTGGAGTGAAAACAAACAAACTTGCATCATAATCTGCTACCAATTGTACATTGCATGTTACCTACAAAGCAAACTGAAAGAAAAGTATTTCTTGTTTGAGAACCGAAGAGACATGCACGCATATCATGGTATGAAAAGATAATAGAGTTGCAATCTGATGCAATCATCAAGACAGGTTTGAGTGTCGTGAGGATGGAGTCAGAGCTTCACGGCCACCTGAAGCGAAGAAGTGCAGTCGTATTGGATTTAACAAGAGCCGGTCATCATCACCATACAGCAAGAGATGCAAGCAATTGGTCGCCGGACCCACGCAGTCCCGACCATACATGTGATCGCAAACCTCGCAACATTAAGATCAGAACACAAAATTTGAATCAATTTGGTCCTCTTCTCCTGAGAGAATGAATGAATGAGCTTACCACATCTGAATCTGTTGTTGCCGCTGCAAGTCAGGCTTATAGAGATAGAACTTGCAGCCCCTGCTAAACAAGAATGACAGCCCCTTCCACTCTAAACCCATTGCACAAATCACAATTACACCCCACTCCATGAACACATTTAATTTGCACTCCAAGGTGCCAGATGATGCCGACGGCAAAGGGGTCATGGCCGTAGATGATGAAGCAGAGGTCAGCGCTGACGAAGTCCATGAAGGCGCCGAAGATGGCCACTGGGTCCTGCCCTGCCATGTTGGCATCGCCGGGGAAGCCAGGAACGCATGGTTGGCTCTCATTAAATCAGAAACATTGTGTCAGTTATAAAATCCATGCAAAACATTACTTGATGATTCATTGAACAACATGAGAGCTAAAACTAAGTTCAAGTGGCATCTATTCAAAAAATAATGTTCAGTATTGATCATGAATTGTTAAGCAAAAAGTAAGGAGAGCATGACAATGTTAATAAACAGCGACAGCGAACACACACGCGCATGCTCAACTGCGTCAGGAAGCACACACATTAGCAGGAAGCACACACAGCGGCAGGGCACATCACGTACACATCCTGGGTACAAACGAACAATCTTAGTACACAAAAAATAGAGCAAGGATCAATAAGTTTGCTTTCTCAAGAAATAATTAGGGCTCACAGGAACTTCTCAACGTGCTTTTGTTGCACATTCTGATAAAATTTGCAGTGAACCATTGCTCTGCTTTGAGACTACAGAAAGCAAACACAAAGCAAACAGAAAGTGAACATACTTGTTCCTCTCGATTCAGGGCACGCCCTAACGGCGCTCCTCACTGGCCACAACGCCGCCACGCCCTGCCGCTGGGTTATGCGATTGCCTCCGTGCCGTCGTCCCACGGGTCAGGGGGCATGCACTTCAGGATGAAATTGAGTATTATGGACTAAACTCTTGCTTGAACTGTAACAAGGAGCCCCAGGACCATGAACGATCAATCTAGATATTTATGTTACCTTCTAAAATCAAGGCCCTCGATTTCTTGAGAGCGGATTGTTTTTTAAAACCAAACTAGCACTCAGGTAGATAGAAACCATGCTATATGCATACCACCCTAGAACTACACCATTTTCTTGCATTTCTTCTAAAACTTCTCCAACAACATCTATCTTGTTCAATGACGCACGGCTGCTCATTAGAAGGAAACATGTGAGGTTATCCGGCTTAATATTCTTCACCTTCATCTCCTAAAAAAGGCTACGGATATTCTGATGCTGGCCTAACTTCATGCAAAGGGACATCAAACTGTTGATGAGGCAGAGTACTGGCTGAGATGCCAAGTTCGTCCATCTTGCGATAAAGGTCTGGAAACTATCCAGTGTAAACCATCAATAACTGTGGTGTTGTGTATCAACAGATTTGATGAGCACCTTCGAAGAACACTTTAGGAGTAGAGATTACTCAAGTAACTATGATTTAGCAAAACTGGAAGGTTATCATCAGCATGTCCTGACCTGGTGCCAGTTTCGGAAGTTTCTGTAAATATTGGAAGATATAACTAATATGAAGCAACATCAGGTATTCCCGTAGTAGCAACCTGCAATTATAGAAGTTGCATTAGAACAAATAGAAACAACCTAGTATTATGACGTTGCATCACAATATGAAGAGTGCCATCCTTTCTGGAGCTACAGCAGTCCTGAATCATTTAGTACTATATCACAAATACCGCATGTTATCTGTCTTTTGAGTTCATCGTCAGTCTTCTTCAGAAAAACATCACAAGCCCAACAAAAGCTTCATCTTCCACCAAAAGAGCACTTGCACCGTTGCCTTGCTAAAATGCTTCAGATTTGTTAACTTGATTGCTGTAGATTACCACACTGAACTGAAATAAACCAAAATAGGACAGGCAAAATTAATATTTCAGGCGTCAAGTTAATAATCATGAAGAATTAGCATCTCTTTGAAGATTGTCTAGAGTGGAGTCAAAACAGATTTTGTTCTAGATTGACACTAAACATAACAAACACTTTTTTAAAAGCGTAATCTTGATAGTGAGAAACATCAGAAAGGGCATTAGACGTGTACACATATAGTCTTAGAAATATGTAACACCGGTAGTTCTCAAATTAGTCATTGCAGGAACTTTGCATTATCTGTTCACTGGGCTACAATTCGACATGATTCATTAATTAAGTTGGCAGTTTTTAAAAGAGAATTGGCAGATGATTTTAACCCCCTACAACTTCTTGCTAATTGTCACCGACTAACAATCAAACAAAGACCTGCACGGTGCTTAACCAATAGTAATTCAGCAAATTACAAGTTAACTGAAGCATCAAATTAATTGACAGATTCTTGCTCATGGTCAACGACTAACAATCAAAGTAAATTGCCAGCATATGGATGCAGGGGTAGTTGGTTGTGGCGCCTTGGACCTCCTGACCCTGGGGCAAGCGAGGTCTGAGTTGGTCCTCCAGCCGTCATACACAAAAGCTATGCGGAAATCACCTGTACACATGTGATCCGACACATGAATGAATCTCCACGAATGAGACGAGCAGGTTAACCCTAAAATCAAATTCTTTGCCCAAAAAATCAATTTGACAAATCCAACAATGGTAGCAGACGGGGAGGGCTGAGCATCTTACTCGTGGACGTTGGTCTCAATGACCTGGCAGACGAAGAGGGAGATCATGGAGGTCTTGCCGGCCCCTGACTGGGCCTGGGCGATGACACCGTGGATGGTGATGATTGGGATGACGACACGCTGCTGGATGGATAAGCCCTTGACGACGGCTGGATCTGGAGGGGAGGTGACGGCGCACTGCTGGATGGATATGCCCTCGACGACGGCCGGATCTGGAGGGGAGGTGACGGCGCGTGCAGAGGCCACGCCCGTCGTGGTGCTGGTGGAGACTGCCGGGCGGCGGTGTCATAGGAGTGGCGGCGCATGGAGAGATGCAGCCGGCAAGGGCGTCCATGGCGTGGGGTGGTGCTACATCTCGTGGAGGAGACGGAGTCAGGGAGAGATGCGATGAATAGGAGGGGTTGGCCCCGAGGAGAGATGACCCGACGCGTTCGGTCGGGAGCCTGGCCAGCGTGAGCTGCTCCCTCCATCATCGCCGCCGTTTGGAGAGGGGGCGTGGCCGCAGCCGACGCATTCATCGGCCACGGCGAGGCAGACGAGCCCGGCGACGGGATTTGATTTGGTGGGCGGCTGCGTCCTAGGAAGGGAGACGAGAGCGGGTTAGGGATAAGGCAGATGGGTCACTCGGGGTTTTTTTTGTGCGCGTGCGTGGGTGAAAGAGCGTGGTGGAAGAGGAGGACAAAAAAAACTGGACGAAAGTGGTGGGACGAAAATTAAACCCGAAACGCGACCTACCAACTGAGACATTAGGAGTAGAGATACTTAGAAAAAAATATGACTCTATGTGAATGCCTCCGGCGGTGTACCGGGATATGCGATGAATCAAAAGTGACATGTATGAAAAAATTATGAACGGTGGCTTTGCCACAAATACGATATCAACTACATGATCATGCATGGCAATATGACAATGATGAAGCGTGTCATAACAAACGGAACGGTGGAAAGTTGCATGGCAATATATCTCGGAATGGCTATGAAAATGCCATAATAGGTAGGTATGGTGTCTGTTTTGAGAAAGGTATATGGTGGGTGTATGATACCGGTGAAAAGTGTGCGGTAATAGTGAGGCTAGCAAATGTGGAATGGTGAGGGTGCGTATAATCCATGGACTCAACATTTGTCATAAAGAACTCACATACTTATTGCAAAAATCTATTAGTTATCAAAACAAAGTACTACGTGCGTGCTCCTAGGGGGATAGATTGGTAGGAAAAGACCATCTCTCATCCCCGACCGCCACTAATAAGGAGGACAATCAATAAATAAATTATGCTCCGACTTCATCACATAACGGTTCACCATACGTGCATGCTACGGGAATCACAAACTTCAACACAAGTATTTCTCAAATTCACAACTACTCAACTAGCATGAATCTACTATCACCATCTCCATATGTCAAAACAATTATCAAGTATCAAACTTCTCATAGTATTCAATGCACTTATACGAAAGATTTTATTATGCCTAAAAGCAAATTACCATGCTGTTCTAAAGGACTCTCAAAATAATATAAGTGAAGCATGAGAGAACGGTCATTTCTATAACATAAAACCATCACCATGCTCTAAAAGATAGAAGTGTAGCACTAGAGCAAAAATTATATAGCTCAAAAGATATAAGTGAAGCACATAGAGTATTCTAATAAATTCTGATTCATGTGTGTCTCTCTCAAAAGGTGTGTACAGCAAGGATGATTGTGGTAAACTAAAAAGCAAAGACTCAAATCATACAAGATGCTCCAAGAAAAACACATATCATGTGGTGAATAAAAATATAGCTCCAACTAAAGTTACCGATGAACAAAGACAAAAGAGGGGATGCCTTCCGGGCCATCCCCAAGCTTAGGCTTTTTGGTGTCCTTGAATTTTACCTTGAGGTGCCTTGGGAATCCCCAAGCGTAGGCTCTTGCCACTCCTTGTTCCATAATCCATCAAATCTTTACCCAAAACTTGAAAACTTCACAACACAAAACTTAACAGAAAATCTCGTGAGCTCCGTTAGCGAAAGAAAACAAAACACCACTTCAAGGTACTGTAATGAACTCATTTTTTATTTATATTTGTGTTAAACCTACTGTATTCCAACTTATCTATGGTTTATAAACTCCATTACTAGCCATAGATTCATCAAAATAAGCAAACAACACACGAAAAACAGAATCTGTCAAAAACAGAACAATCTATAGTAATTTGTATCAAACGCATACTTCTGGAACCCCAAAAATTCTAAAATAAATTGCTGGACGTGTTGAATTTATGTATTAATCATCTTCAAAAATAATTAACTAAATATCACTCTCCAATAAAAAGGGCAGCAATTCTCGCGAGCGCTAAAGTTTCTCTTTTTTACAGCAAGATCAAAAAGACTTTCCCCAAGTCTTCCCAACGGTTCTACTTGGCAGAAACACTAATTAAACACAAAAAACACAACCAAAACAGAGGCTAGATAAATTATTTATTTAATAACAGCAAGGAAAAATATTGGGTTGTCTCCCAACAAGCGCTTTTCTTTAAAGCCTTATAGCTAGGCATAAGATTTCAACGATGCTCACATGACAGACAAGAATTGAAGCACAAAGAGAGCATCATAAAACACGTGACAAAAATATCCAAGTCTAACATACT